ATCCCTGGAGAGATAAATGTGTTGAGAATCCAAGATGTACAGATATAGATACACTAAAGAGGGGAAACAGTGTTTCAGACTGTAATGAAGAAAAGGTATATTTTACAGTAGTCTCAGTGAGTTGCAAATGTTTTCATATAAAGAATTTTATGTAAACTATTGAACTTTGGATTATTTCCATATTTAGTTATTTCTTCCATTGAAGTTAATGAACTCATTACAGAAACTAAGATTCAAATTGTTCCTTTTTTGCAAGGAGTTGTACCTTGTTAAATATTATATTAGTGATTTTTTACAGGTTGTGCACGGGTGTTGCTTATGTGTTTCTGATTGTATTTCAATTGTCATATACCTTCTATATATTGTTTCAGATTATACTGCTGTCCTTAGGAAGTTCAGTGTTGAGAATTATGATTTGCTTATGAGTATTCAGTATTGTACTCACCTGTAGTCAAAAAATGCAATTAACCTTCAGTTAATTTCATTTTTTCTTTAAGGACGAGGAGGGATGTTATGAATCAGTAATACTTTATTCTGACATTCATCATGATAAACATGTATCTTCATTAATCTTTCCTCAGCTATTTGAAGATCAACATTATGACCATTTGTTTTTTAGTAATTATGTTTGAGTTAACTGTAGCATGCTGTAGTGTGCTTATAGGATATTTTTATTGCATGTTTAATTATGGGTGAAGGGGGGAGACAGTGCCATCTCATTGGGGTTTACTATATATGAATGTTCCAAGGATACGTGCAGTGTATTCAACATAGAGTCACTGATTCACCTCTGTAAATATTCCTGTTTCTTGTATGAACGTACACGCTTCGGCAGTACATATACTAAAATTGGAACGATACAGAGAAATTGTATGAACAATTCATTTAACTACACTTTAACAGTGTTATATGCATATTAGTGTATTTATAAATATGTTCATAAGTATTACTCTCAGATAGCAGAGTATCTGAGAGTATTCATGTGTGTAATCAGTTGGTACTATGTAGACACCATTGTGGAAGGCGTCTAACCCAGTTAGTCGCATGGTTTGAGCTGACTGGAGAAGACCTGTGATTTAGTAGATAAGTTTGTGGAGCTTATTTTTGGTTAAATAACATAGCTACGTATCTGGTAGATTTACATTAAGTATTTTCATCTATTCTTTTAAGATTTAATCAAGTGAGAGGGCACATGGGAGTTATTTACCTCATAATATGCATATTGTTATAAATATTTTGGTGATTCCTAGCTATCTGTATTTCAGTTGTATGTTTGATGTTCCTTTGTTACCCCTATCTTAAGTATATTGCTCTTTGTTAAAGAAGTTGACTCATTTACCCTAGACACATTGTATTTGGCAAGGCTGCCTTTATATCTATTTTATAAGTGCAACAACAGAGGAACCATACCAAGAGGTCAGGGGCATAACAATCAACACGCATCGTTTACAATAAAGGAGGTGTTCTTTCCGAAACTCGTTTATTAGCTGTTTCATTCCTGATCATAATTGTTATGGGAAGTTATTGAGTGAGCCGGTTAGCATGCGAGCGAGACACAAAACCAAGGTAAATATTCCTTGGTCCTTATCTCATAATCAACATACATTATTTCCTCTGATATTGCTGTCATATTAGGATTATTGCTAATATTTGTGAGTGCCCTCTAACAGGTGGAACAGAAGAGGAAGAAGAATTAACACTAATTACCTAGTTCACTATTATATGGTGCTGATACCAGCCTCAACCATGAGGATTATTTGGTGTGCTCATCCATGTTCATAACTGGTGGACCAGGCCCACTATATACAAGATAAGCTGTAGTTAATTTACGTTACATATGTAGTGTAATACTGTAATGAATGTCAACTAATCAATATTTTTTTATTGAAAGATTATCCATGTAAATAATTTAATAACCCCAGAATGTGTAGGCATTTGTGACACATTTCAAGATATACAATCCACTTTAAACATCACAGTTTACTATAAAAAATATAAATATATTCTATTTATATAGAACATAAATTCTATATAAATGAATATAAATTAAATAAATAAAAATCTTACAGGTCAATTTCACACAATAACACCACACCCTGATAATGCTCTGAATATTGGTTGATAACACCACACCCTCGTGATGCTGGGAATAATGGTTGATAACACCACACCCTGGTGATGCTGAGAATAATAATTGATAACACCGCACCCTAGTTATGCTGGGAATAATGGTTGATAACACCACACCCTGGTGATGCTGGGAATAATGGTTAATAACACCACACCCTGGTGATGCTGGGAATAATGGTTGATAACACCACACCCTAGTGATGCTGGGAATAATGGTTGATAACACCACACCCTAGTGATGCTGGGAATAATGGTTGATAACACCACACCCTAGTGATGCTGGGAATAATGGTTGGTAACACCACACCCTGGTGATGCTGAGAATAATAATTGATAACACCACACCCTAGTGATGCTGAGAATAATAATTGATAACACCACACCCTAGTGATGCTGAGAATAATAATTGATAACACCACACCCTAGTGATGCTGAGAATAATAATTGATAACACCACACCCTGGTGATGCTGGGAATAATGGTTGATAACACCACACCCTAGTGATGCTGGGAATAATGGTTGATAACACCACACCCTAGTGATGCTGAGAATAATAATTGATAACACCACACCCTGGTGATGCTGGAAATAATGGTTGATAACACCACACCCTAGTGATGCTGGGAATAATGGTTGATAACACCACACCCTGGTGATGCTGAGAATAATAATTGATAACACCACACCCTGGTGATGCTGGAAATAATGGTTGATAACACCACACCCTAGTGATGCTGGGAATAATGGTTGATAACACCACACCCTGGTGATGCTGAGAATAATAATTGATAACATCACACCCTAGTGATGCTGGAAATAATGGTTGATAACACCACACCCTGGTGATGCTGGGAATAATGGTTGATAACACCACACGCTGGTGATGCTGGGAACAATGGTTGATAACACCACACGCTGGTGATGCTGAGAATAATAATTGATAACACCACACCCTAGTGATGCTGGGAATAATGGTTGATAACACCACACCCTGGTGATGCTGGGAATAATAATTGATAACACCACACCCTGGTGATGCTGGGAATAATGGTTGATAACACAACACCCGGGTGATGGTGGGAATAATTGTTGTTTACATGAATTTCATCGTGTGATTACGATGAAATTGTATTTGATGATCTTTTGACACATTGTACGACTTACATTATACAAAATCCATTGGCGTTCAAGATTTTTGTTGAGCTGATTACATACGACTGGGGCAGGATTTTGGCGAGGTCAACTGGGCACGCTCAACCTCTCACCACACTATTCCATTCACTAGATGTTACATACATCATTTGTACCTGCATTATATATTCAATTCAGGAGCCTACTGTTCGAACTAGATAAGTTAAATCAAGTGATAATGAAAATTAATTTATATATTTTGTACTAAACTCTCTAAATGTGTAGATGAGAGCTCTCTATAAATGAATTAAAAACCAGAAACGTTTCCTAAAATAAAATATAACCAGAGATATCAAAAAGGTGTAATAGAGGCAAAAATAAATTATTATTGTTTTATTTTAATCTTTACAGTGGAAAATCTAATTCAATAAATTTACAGATGCATTGAAAAAGATATAACTTGCAAACTCAGGATATCTATAAACCAATAAGATATAACTGACAAAGTTAGGCATAACTCAGGATATCTTTAAACCCAAAAGAAAAACATGAACTCCAGTCCCAGTTAGAATATTTATCAGCATTCAGAAAAAGTTAGAGATAAGCTTAGTAAGCCCAATCAAGTATTAATAAGTCACTAGAGGCAGGCTGAATGCCTGAATCATGGAGGGTTGCAAACGTGACCCCTGGGATTCCGGGGGTCACGGTCCCTAGGGCCTGGTCTCTGACCTGGCCACTAACAACGTGGTGACAGTTCTGGTATAGTTGGATATAGATCACATCCACCACCTATCGACCAGTTAGTTAAATGTCCATAGTGGGGAAGTTGCTTGAATCAATAACTGAAAACAGTATTGAGGTTTGTTTTGAGGAACACTGATAAGGGAATCACAGCATGTGTTCACCAGGGGTCAGTCTTGGTTAACATGGCTGATCCCTTTATTTTCATGCTTATTAGTAATGACTGATAATTAAAGTATATATAATACTGTAAAGCCTACCTCATGAGTTATAAACTAGTACCATAGTAAGGGAAGGGAAGTATTAAACTGGATAAGGGAATGTTTATTGCATATTTAGCAAAGGGGTCAATATAAATGGAAAAAAGAATTTGTATAAAATATTATCAATAGAACGCCCAAGGGATCTCTCAAGTGAACTTTTCTCTTCATTATCTATATCAACGATTTAAGTGTTGGGGTTACTGACGACATCAGTAAATTTCCAGATAATTAGAAAATAGGCAATATCTTAAATTTTATTGAGAGTGCATTGCTTCAAAATGACAAAGTGACTCTTGCAGTTGCTAAAAGTCAGTAACTGCAATTTAAAGCAAACAAATACAGAGCTCTTAACGTAGGAAATAAAAATAGAAGCACTATATTAATTCAATAATGTTAACATCGCGAGTTAATTTTATGACAGTGATCACGGCGCTTTTGTTATTGGAACTCTTGGACCAATCAAATAGTGCTTAAGTACTTGAGATATAGCAACATTATGCTGGGATTCTTCAGACTTATCTCATCCATGATAGGCACTACTTGAATTATCTAACCCATGATAGGCACTACTAGGATTATCTCATCCATGATAGGCACTACTTGGATTATCTCACCCATGTTAGGCACTACTAGGATTATCTCATCCATGATAGGCACTACTTGAATTATCTAACCCAAAATAGGCACTACTAGTATTATCTCATCCATGATAGGCACTACTAGGATTATCTCACCCATGATAGGCACTACTTGAATTATCTAACCCATGATAGGCACTACTAGGATTATCTCACCCATGATAGGCACTACTTGAAATATCTAACCCATGATAGGCACTACTAGGATTATCTCACCCATGATAGGCACTACTTGGATTATCTCACCCATGATAGGCACTACTTGGATTATCTCACCCATGATAAGCACTACTAAGATTATCTCATCCATGTTAGGCACTACTAGGATTATCTCACCCATGATAGGCACTACTAGGATTATCTCACCCATGATAGGCACTACTAGGATTATCTCACCCATGATAGGCACTACTAGGATTATCTCACCCATGTTAGGCACTACTAGGATTATCTCACCCATGATAGGCACTACTAGGATTATCTCACCCATGTTAGGCACTACTAGGATTATCTCACCCATGATAGGCACTACTAGGATTATCTCACCCATGATAGGCACTACTAGGATTATCTCACCCATGTTAGGCACTACTAGGATTATGCCATTCAATTTAGGGCATCACGGTACAAGATGGACAAAATTTCAATTAAAGGAGTTGAACGAAAAAGTTACTTTTTCTTTCAACTTATAATTTTATCAACTTTTATCAACATTCTTTCAACTAATAATATAATATTCCTTATGATAATAAAAATAAGGATCATCTTATAATAAGATAATCCCGAGCAGAACAAATTTCCCACACTAATAAAGAATACAGAAACCATTTACATTTGTTAGTAAGAAGATCAAGGAGTGACATCAGTGAAGTATTCAAGTGGTTGATGAGCTACAAATGTGATATTTATAGTGTAAATAATATAAAGGTAAACCAGAATGTAAAACAATGGGGTTTTAATTTAACTTAACAAAGTTTTCATTTAGGAAGTTTGCCGAATAGTATATCAGCGGTATGCTCGTTGGACAGCTTCCAGCGTAATCTGGATCAATATATGACAGTTTGCTTAGGTGTAAACGGTAACTGTAGTATTATTGTTTTCTTTGTTTTTTGAAGGAGAAATTGATGGTTGAGGTGAGCATATCTTGGGTGATGGTGAGAGTAGACGTCACAGCTGCTGGCTGTGACGTCACCATCACCTCACCATCTCACCATCACCTTGTCACATCCTGGGTGATGGTGAGAGTATACGTAGCAGCTGCTGGCAGGAACCTAGTCTCTCACAACGCGATAGATGAACACAACTGCATCATTCTCATTGTAATAGTTTGGCACCACCGTCCTTGTTTCCTGTTGAATACCAAAACACAAACGTTTACCTTTTGAGAGTAAATGATATGCGAACATTACACTGGTAAAAAAATTAAATTGGATAGAGGTACAGTGTTATGGGAAAACATATTACAGAACAATGGTTAGAATATTCTATTGTACAGATAAACATTGTCACTCTTATATAGATTTTACGCCAAAATAAGTGTAGTCGACCAATGATGAGTCAGAAGCCACCGCCTCGTACTTGGACCTTGATAAAAATAGTTGATATCATATGGTTGATAATGGTTGACTTTCAAAATGGAAAGCGCTCTATAGAATTATTATAGTTTTATTGAATTATTTTTCTTCAACAAAATTTCAAATAAATGTAAATGGATGAACTAAATAGTAGAAGATTTATCTTGATGAAATTTGCATGTATTAATGTATGCGAAGATATATATGCATACCAGAAGGGGGTTTACTTCGACCGCAGCACAAGGTTTAAATTCAGCCCCCCCCCCTCCCCGAAAAAAAATCTACCACTTATTCATGCCTGAGCCACTTCATGGGTGGCTTAATCTTCATCAATCAGATGGAGTCATCTTTCTCCATCACATTCACTCCTTTGCTGCCGACCTAAGCTCCTATGGTCCAGGACCCACCTACACCATGTTGCACAGGGTCAAGGTTCACCTCCCGGAGAACCTCGTTCTCTCCACCGCCGAGATTTTAGCACAAATCTCCTCTTCCGCCGTCTCACCGGCTGACATCCTGGAGACAAGAGAGGGTGTTCACCTGCTCTTCTCCAAGGGTTTGGACCTTGAGAAGATACTCACCACCACCGCCACGACGGCCCTGCAAGACGCTGGCATCACCCTCGCACCACCACTACGCTACCTGGCGGACAGGACCATGTTTGCCAGGAATTTCAGCATAAGGATCACCGACCGCGACGACGACGACATCCTCGCCATCATTAACAACCAGAACCCGACGCAGACTTCGGTAGCAGTCAAGACCATATCCAATACCAAAGTCAACCGCATAGCAACACTGAAGGTGACCTTCACCACGGCCATCACATCGACACACGCCACGGACAAAGGAGCGCAGGAATCACATACTACCCACCCAAGTGATCAAGGAATACTTCACGGAACTCCGGCATTGCTTCAAGTGCTCCAGTACTCCCACTACACCAGCAAGTGCATCGAGCGAGCACAGAGATGCAGCCTCTGCGCCTAGGAGCACCACTATATGAACTGCACGTCCTCCCACAGACACTGCCTGCTCTGCATTGGCCCACATTCGGTGATCTCACCTGACTGTCTCGTCTGGCATGAGGAAATCCAGAAAATGACAGACACCGCTTCCTCCACCACCAAACCTCGTTTAGCAAACCCAATCCCGTCGTAATTCCCGGTCTTACCCAGAAATTACGTAATTCCCTCGTTATGTGGCCGCGTACTTTCCAAGGAAGACAGATAGCATAACTCCATAATCCACAACAACTACTGGGAGTACAAGGGCAGGGAAGCAGGACGCCTCGACCACCTCTGTAACTATAGGTTATGGTATTTCCTTCTTCAGAACATAGAAGAAGGAAATTTGACCAGACTCCCAACTTCTGGGAAATGGGATAAGGAAACCAATCCCTTAGTAACACCCGGACATCTCCCCCTAGACCGGCCGACTGTGCCCAGCCCCGCCGACTCCTGTGAAACTCAACTGTGATCGACGTGTGTACCCCATCAATTCACCAATCTGACGAGCCTTATGGTCTTGGATTTTATTGGAGCGTTCACGGGTCTGGGGTTGAGGGGATGGGGAATGGAGTTCTGGGAAATAGGATATACCCAAATCTTCAGTATGATCTTCAGTTCTTGAGAACATTGAAAACAGCTCCATGAGAGAATTCTATATAACACCTTGAGAACATTGTATACATCACCTTGAGAACATTGTATACAGCACCTTGAGAACATTGTATACAGCACCTTGAGAACATGTATACAGCACCTTGAGAACATTGTATACAGCAACTTGAAAACATTGTATACAGCACATTGAGAATATTGTACACAGTACCTTCAGAACATTGTATACAGTTCCTGAGAACATTGTATACAGCACAAAGAGAACAATGAATGCCACACCTTGAGAACATTGAATACAGCACCTTGAGAACATTATATACAACCTTCTTGAGAACATTGTGTATATATTTTTTTGAGATATATACAAGAGTTGTTACATTCTTGTACAGTCTGTCTATGTCCTACGAACATAGTACGCGTAGCGTTTCGGGCAGGTCCCTGGAATACGATCCCCGCCGCGAAGAATCTTTTTTACAACCAGGTACTCATTTTACTGTTGAGTTAAACAGAGGCTACAGTTAAGGATTTACGCCCAGTAAATCCTCCCCGGCCTGGATACGAACCCATGACAAAGCGCTCGCGGAACGCCAGGCGAGTGTCTTACCACTAGACCACGGAGACTGGTCAGGTCATCTTGAGAACATTGTATAAAGCATCTTGAGAACATTGAAAACAGCACCTTAAGAACTTTGTATTCGCCACCTTGAGAACACTGTATACAGCACCTTGAGAACACTGTATACAGCACCTTGAGAATATTGTATACAGCACCTTGAGAACATTGTATGCAACACCTTGAGATCACAGTATACTGCACCTCGAAAACCTTGTATACAACACCCTTGAGATCATACAGCACTTTTATAACACTGTTGATAACAAGATTAGGATTTTTAGGAACATAGCAATTCCTCATATATATTTCGTTTGTTCTTAATTTATAAGTGGTACTGTCTATATTGTCATGATATGATATAGTTGGTTTATACCTTCGATGAAGTTTATGTAATAGATTTTTTTTGTGATTAACGAAATATATAGTATATAATGATAACATAAACTCGCACCGAGTTTATACAATTGATTTTTCACGGTTCCTGAAAAACCACTTCCATTGAATTTTCAGGCAACTCTGTGTGCAGAAGCCCTGGTAGACATGGACACATGCTAACATAGTTCCAGTCTACACAAGTGGCAGCAGGAAAACCCACTTAATTACAGACCTGTATCACTGACAAGTGTAATAATTAATATACTGGAAAATATTATTAAAACCAAATGGGTAGAACACCTGGATAAAAATTATATAATAACAGACAGTATGGTTACCATCTGGAAAATCCTGCATGTGTAACGAATTTCCATAGTTTCTATGATAGGGCCACAGAGAATTTACAGGAATGGTTAGGATGAATGCATTTATCTGGACCTAAAAATGGCTTTCGACAGAATCCCACATAAGAGTTGTTATGTAAACTGGAAAATACTGGAGGACCTGCTGCTTGGGTGACAGCCTCTCCTCCATATCAACCTACCCTGGCTTTGCGCTCTGGAGATACCATTCCAGACCGACAACCAGAGTGCAACCCCCATAGACTCCTATGACTGATGGATGCCTACATCTGGAGGAGTGACATGGAGGCTTCTTATCTGACTAGAGAAATGTCAAGAGTGAAGTACCACAGGGTTCAATTCTAGCAGGGGTAATGTTCATTGTCTACATAAACGATGTTTATGTTGTTCGGCTGAGGTGTCTGCACGATTTCCTTTTTGCCGACGACGCAGAAGTCACTGCTCACTCAGCCGAAGATCTCCAACGGCTCATGACCCGCTTCAGCGAGGCCTGTCAGGCTTTCGGATTCACCATGAGACGGAAGAAAACACAGGTCATGGGACAAGGAGTGGACTCTCCACCTGACATCGGCATCTC